ATGGGAAAGAAAGGGTTGTTGACAAATACTTGGAAACATCGAGTGAGTCTATAGAAGAGATAAAAGTACAATATGTTGGTTAACGAGAATAGAAGACAAAATAAGAAAGAGGATGAGAAATATATGTGTTTACCCTTGAGAAGAGCAACTAAAAGATCACTATCACGGATATGCCATGTACTAAAGAGTTCTGCAGAGGTAATCGCAGTAGATTAAGTTGGAATTAAAGTAGATAGCAGCATAGAAGCAGAAGAGTTAAGCCATGTATACACTTAAACAAGATTTACAAACATAATGGTATTGTATTCAGTGTTGTATCATATTTGATGGAGCACTGGCGGTTCGTGCCTGACAAACAAGAAAGCAAGAGAAGTCATCCTCATATTCACAAGAAGGAGATTCACTACTAAACCTGATTGAGACTCGAGGAACCTACCATATACTGGAAGTATGTACTAGTCTATAGTTGGATTCAAATTATGTTTCGTTTTGGGGATCATTATTGTAGACAAAACACCCTCGAGGAAGCACTCTTGGCTGAGACTTGAGAAAGACATTCTTGACTGGACTCGAGAAAAACACTCGAGGGATTAAGAATCAACTTTTGTTTTATAGAGATCATAATTATGGACAAAACAAGAAGAAACGAAAAATCTTTAGAGTCGAGGAAAATAACTCGCTATTAAGATATAAAATCAAATATGGGATTTTTGTTAGCTAAAACAATAAAAATCATGTGGTTGATTAAATAACATGAAGAGAGAATGACATCACTCCAAACCTTTTGGAACATTATTTCATATCATACTATTATAAAAGTGTGTTGCTATGTTAAAATATTTCTTCCCAAATTGCCCTCCGATTTATGTTACAAAACATACATGTATACATAAAACACTTAAATATACATATAAACATAAACATACATATACACATACATACATGCATATTCAAACCATACATTTTATTCTATTTATGACATCATTACTAATACAATAAACATGGCAAGTAACAGAAATAATTAATATATTATTTTTTATCATGTTAGTTCTTATTAAATAACGTAATAACTTACTTTAGATATTAGGTATTATGTATTAAAAATAGTTTTAAGAATTCTTTATATAGGTACATGAAAGGGAGAAGGAATAAAAAATAGCTCATGCCCAAAAAATTGTTTATGCCCAAGAGAGTTTTAATCTGTGTTTAGGCTTAAAAGGTAATAATATCAAGTGAATTTTAGTAGGAAAAAATTTAATTCAGGCATGTCCAAGAGGGTATTAATCTATGTTTAGGCTTAAAAGATAATAATGTCAAGTGCGGTGTTATCGAGGCGCAAGGCGCAATGCAAAGTCCCCTTATGCGCACCATGTACAATGTGCATTGCGATGCGCGCGCCTTGCTGAAGCGAGACGCACAACTCAAATAGATCTTTTCCAACATAGCAAACAAGTAGCACAATAATGAAATGTTTAGTCACCCTTATCATCATTGTCATCAAAATCAAGTAGAATATTCTCATCCTCGAGGCCATAAATTGTTAGTAATAGTGTGCTACAATGAAGAATCAAGAATCATTTTTACTGTTTTACATAAATCTTTCTTTTACATATTTACATAAACGATTGAATAACAAGCTTCTCTTATCTACATTCAACTTTCAACTATGTTCCTTACTTCCATATTCCAATTGTTTTAAAGTCAGATTTTGAAAAGATAAAATAATCCGAAGAGTAATTATCAAACCTCTAACACCAATAAAAAAAGTGTTGGAGATTGGAGTTAAAAAGAAAAACTAAAGAAAAGAAAACAATCAAACAGAAAGAAACAAAGAAGAGAAGAGGCAAAAAAGAGAAAAAAAGGGCAAAAATACAAAACCTGAAAAGAGAAAAAAGAAGAGAAGGAACTTACCTCTCGCCGCTCGTTGCTTGCCGGAGTCTGGTCACCAGCCGCATGAATCCACTCACCGCTCGTCTTAATCCCTCGCCGCTCGAGACAAAAGAAGAGAAGACGATCGAGAGAGACGCCACCTCAGAGAATCGTTAGGACTCAATTCGTAGTCGGGTGCGGTTCTTTTTTGTTTTTGGGCAAGCGGGTTTAAACTAAATCAGGTTTATTACCCGAAAACCCATATTTGACAAATCAAAAACTGAAGAGCTCGCTTCAGTGCGCCCTAGCACGGGATGACAACGAGGTGTCATCCAGGCGCGCGCCTCGGCCAAGTGAAGCGCCCTGCACTTGCTGCGGGGCATTGTTCCACCGCGTCACACCGCCCAGCGCCTCAAGCGCGCGCCCCGTTAGCGCATTGATGACACTGGCAAATTTTAGTAGAAAAAAGATTAATTTAGGCAACCTACCAATAATAATAATAACACGCTTATTCATTGTCCATCATCTGTTTCATTAGCATTGTGAAGCTGGGTAAGGCGCCATCTCATAGACAATAAATATTCTATATGCACTCCTATTCTCATGAGATGCACCACGTTTTGGCTATTTTATTATGTTTAAATAAATAAAACACCCACTATCATCTTAAACTTCCAACTACCTATACGCGTTCTCAATCTCTACATATATAAATCCATACTCCTTAACCGAAAAGAAAGAGAATTTTATAACTCTTCATTTCTCACTCTTCGCTAAATAAGAATTTATTGACACCACTTATAGAAACATTATAACTCTTCTTCTCCCAATAAATTACTCTTACCTATTTTCTTCAACCAAAATTCTAGTCAATCAAGATGGCAAGATTTCAATCCTTATTTTACTCTCATTGTTCCTCTGAGCTTCCACTTTCTAGGTTAATCCCATTCAATCACTTAACTGAAAGCTTTATTTGGATCCTTACGGGAGGATAAGCGGAGCAAAGACTATTAATTGTTTTAGGATCGAAATTGCCTAGTCATTCAGATTATACAACAAAAACTCAACTGAAAGTTTGATTTGGATCTTTCCGGGAGGATAAGCAAAACGAAAACTATTTATTCTTTTAGGGATCGAATTTGCCTAAATAATGTCCCTCAATAGTTCATTTTGAATTCTTTCAATTTACTTTTAAATTTGTCAATTTGATGTGAGCTTTTTGAGAATAAATTTTATGTGATTTTAGTCGTTATTGAGATGACTCATTTTGATGTGATTTGGATTGCTATAGTGAAAACTGAAGTTAGTTCCTTGATTGAATGGAGGATCCACTTATGAGATTATAATAGTTTAATTTTTTGCATGTGATTGCCTATTAAGTTGAATTTTTGTTTTTCATGTGTACAATCTTTCTTATATTTTTAACCCACCGAGAAATAATAAGCTTTAGGTTGTGACAGGTTACAAATTATCAATTAATATAGAGAATCTGAAGCCCTTGTGAACCAAAAAAATATCATAATAATATTTGATTCCTTTACAAATAATTTTCATCTTACAATGTGAGATCAAGAACTTTGCTTTCGAGGATATATAGGAGATTACAATAGACGTTACAAAATTACAAAGTCATGGCTTAGTTTAAGGATGTATACCCGTAAATAATAGGTTGGATATAAGAAAATAAATAAAAGGTTGGAAAGTAATGACCATTGTTAGCTTCTTTCTTATAAGAATATAATTATATGTGGATGCCAGAGAATGTGTATGATCAAAACAAAATCAGAGAATGTCTAAAAGGAAAATATAACAATGATCAATTTAATAAAATTTAACTTCAAACGCTATGCCTATATGAACCATCTAGGAAATAAGAAATATATAAGCATTTCATGGTGGAATAATGCACATAGATTAAAATTAAAACAACATGATGATAGAAAGAAAATTGATGCATCTAGAAGATATTATTTTCCTTCCTCAAAGACATTAAAATATTAAGTGAGGATCAGTGGTAATTAAAGATACTGGACCTCATCATTGATGATGAATGAATTAAAGTGATAATTTTCTTTTTTTATGCTTTTCTATATATAAAATGAATTTCAAACTTTTTATTTTTTTTAAACATTACTAGTTTATTTATAGTAGTTTTCTACGAGTAATACATTTGCATAACAAAGTGTACAACAAGGATTATGCATGATGTTAGGTAAATTCTTATTTAATCTACTCTAGCATATAAATAAGTACACACACGTTGCACTATACTAGTGAACTAAAAGTGCCCAGTTAATTTCAAGAAAATGACGTTTTTTACACGCCGCACTCATTTTGTCAAGTATACATACAGAGGATTGATGCAAAATATTGTTTGTTCCATAAGATCCATGAAGCACGAGCCAAAACAGTCCTAAACATTATGAAATCTAAATTTTTTTATAGATGTGTGGGTCGGTGTAGCCTGGTCAGTTATATTGCAATGAGTGGTGGGTGGCGGGGCAACGATCATGATAACAGGATGGTGATGCTGGCAGCAGGGTTGCAACATGATGGGAGAGGGGCAGCAAAGATGGTGATGGTGGCAGAGGGTTGTAGTAAAGGAGGAGGTGCAGCGGAAGTGAGGTGCAGCAAAAGCGGTGATGGTGGCAGTCTAGATGGGGTTTGAAGGGGTGGCAGAAGGATGAGTTTTGAGGGGTCTGAATGAGATTTGAGGAGGAATGAGTTTTATGGCGCAAGCTTAGGCTTATGGTTTTCAAAGAGAGGCTAAGTTTTTGATAAAGGAAGGCTCTGACACCATGTCATTTGAAGAATTTAGAGAGATTAGAGTGGTAATTTACCTCTTCTACTTACCTTTATTTCTAACAGAACACTAATCCAATCCTAAGTAACTTTCTAAACTAAACAACTTTCTAAATAAACTAAGTCCTTTCATAACACTCCTAACATCTAAATGGATAATATCTATGAGCCGCACATACTCCTTATAATGTCATCTTTTATCTGCCTGCCTCTATCACACAATCTTATACTTGCATACTCAGATTGAATTCAATATTGTTTCAGAAGTCACATACGAGCAAAAGAAAAGTGAATTAAAATCTTCGCATCTAAAATGGAGTAAAACTTACCTAGTTGCTCACTCTCTGAGTTTTTCTTTGCCCGCTTCAATGCTTCGTAACTCTGTGATAAATTTATCTCTGGCTGAACATTGCGCAGCCGGGCGCTGGTTCTAGTTACAGAAGCCAGCTGAACAACAGGTAGTGATGGAAGGCACAAGCCCTCCATATCATCAGCTACATGAACAGGGCCCCCTTGTGCTGCAATCTTGTCACAAAATGAGACCAATGCTGGGTCCATCTGAGATAACATACCTTGTACCTGAGACGTAAAGGATCATGTAAATTTTAATGCAAATGGAATTCTGATTTAAAATTCAAGTTCTTTTAACAACAAATTTACACAGGACATTACCACATCACGAAGCTCATAAGCTCTGCTCACAATCCTAGAACCATTGTAATCATCTCCATTGTATGCCTGTTTATAGACTTCAAGAAACGTTAGCAAGAGCATGAAGTTCAAGATGAAAAAATCTACTTTCATCACTGTGACAGACATTACTGCATATTGACTTCTCAACGTAACCCAAACGCTACAGAAAATGAGATGCAAAGTTGCAGACTCCAAAAGAATATATATTTAGGGAAAAACAGAAAACTCATAGTAAGATTAAAGTAATGCCAAAAGATACCTTAGCATTGGCCACAATCAGGTCAAAGTCTTGCATGAATGTTACACGTGTGAGATATTGCCCACAGTCCACACGTTGCAACAAAGTAGCCATATCCATGGGATTCTGAACAACGGAATGGTAATTTGGTGCATCCTCATCCGAGACTGGGTAATGAAACACGCTGAACCGTTTATCATACAAAATCCTGCATGGTGATAGCATAATCGAGTAAATGAATCATACTTAAAATTTATATAGTTGAATAACCAACAACAACCTAAGCTTAGATATAGGTCTAATAGAGATGGAAACACAAAATTTGAATAGCTTCGTATTACTGAAAATAAAAAGTACTGATAAAGTATCTCAACTCTATGGCTGTTCTCTGCCTCACAACTGAGCTACAGAAATCAAAATCACCTTTCCCTTCCTAATGTAGGACAATTTTCGAGGATAGCTGTTAAATTCCAGCATGAAATGAAATGGCTTGACCAAAGGGACAAATATCTCCATACCAACCCATTCAATGCACAAGGCTCTTCAATGATAATGAGGAATATGAAATTTCACGCCAAAAAAGAATAAATCCATTCTCAGCTGATTATAACTTACATAACTGTTCCAACCCACATAGTACGCATTCCATGGACGAACCACACCAGTTCATGTTAATTTTCATGCCTTGAAAAAATATCACTACAGAAGATTTTTTTTTCAATAATGGACCAAAAAGACCTTGGTGTTTGTGTGCATCTTGCATTTGTGAAATGGGATATATGCTGATAAGGGAGGAATTTTCCTATGTTGTACTACACTTCAAATGTGTAGTGGGCCATATGCCAGAACACATGCCACGAAAAAGAAGAAATCTACGCTTAACATTTCGGAGCATGTGATCCTGTACAACAATGTAGATCATCCACTTAAAGGGTTCAGCATATGAACTCAAGTGAGTTGTGAAGCTCGAAAAAAAATGGCGTTTTTGGGGATAATAAATAAATTCGAAGGAATTGATTGGGCCAATTGAAACAACAAATTTTGTGGCTCAAAAAATTTGGGGTGAAGCTGTTCCTTCTTTAATCTCTGATTCTCTTTTTGTTTCAAAGCCCAATTCCTCACAGCCCAAAGTTTGGCCTGTTTTGGGTGAAACTAGGGTTTGTGATGAAACTAGGGTTAAGTTTGTGGCGATATTGATAAAAGCGATTGGGTTAGTGTTGTTAAACGAAACCCTAGATCGCCGCAGTCTATCAAAAAATCTACTTCTCCCCTTCATCTTTCTGCCGATCTTATCTGAAGGAATCGATTGTGCTTTCGTTGTGGAGGATCGAAACACATGACGAAAGATTGTAGAGATCTGATTGTGTGTTTCAGATGTCGAGGAGTTAGGCATGAAGCTAAGAATTGTTTTCGATTTGAAGCTGGAGGTCGTGGTAATGGAGGTAGAGGATCTGGATACGGTGGGCGTGGTCATTTTGGTGGTCGATCTGGAGGTAATCTTGGGAATCGTGGTGGCGATGGTCGTTTTGGGCAAAACCCTAATAACGATCGTGGTGTTGGTCGGTTGAATCCTTGGCAATGGCGTCGGGAGAGGACGACGTCAGTTCAATCCTCTTCAAGAAAACAGGATTCTTTCCGACAGCAGGATAAAGGCAAAAGACCTCTTTCGTCAGTAGTTGAAGGGCAAGAAAATGTTCTCCAGTGTCAAGATCTTAGGCCAAGAGATTTTGGGGATCTGGAGGCTGAATTGAAGATTTCAGGTGATCGTCCTTGTTTCTCTTCCGCTGTTCTTCGTTTTGAAGGAGAGGTGAATTCTGGCTTTCAAAAATTCAGAAATTTTGCTATATTTCTTTTGTTGAAGGGGGTAATGTCTCTTTAGAAAGGCTGGAGTTAGATTTGAGAGCTTATTTTCCGTTAAATAAACATTAGGATGCGATGCTTTTTACTAATGGAGAAGTTTTAGTTAAGATTCAGTCGTGGAGACAAATGGAGGATTTAATAAAAATGGGGGTTTTATCTCTAAGATCTTGTAAAATTAAGTTTCGAAGATGGAATGCTTGGGAAGGGAATGTGGTTGAAAAGAGAAATTCTCAGGTGTGGATCAAATTGAAAAATGTTCCTCCTCATTTATGAAATAGAGAATCCTTTGAATTGATGGTGAAGCCTTTTGCTGATTTAGTTGATCCTGATCCGCTAACAAATGTTGGTTCTGAGTTTGTGGACGTTGTTTTGTTAGTCAAATGTTCAGAATACATTGACGTTCCTAAAGTCTTGAAGATTTTTGTTGGAAAAAATCAGTATAATGTTGAAGTTTCTGTTATGTCGGTTATGGGTGAAGTTGTTGAAGTGGAGAAGAAAAAACAGAAAGTGGATCATTTGAAAGATAACAATCAGAGCTCTTACCAGGATAAATGGTTTAAGGGGAGAAAGGACAGTGGATCTGGTTCTTCTGACAATACTTCATGAACTGTTAGACAGGATTTGCGGGATAATCCATGGGATTCTCCAGCTGCCAGATTGTGGAATGAGGCTAAGTCGTTTTATCAAAATAAAAAATCTGTGTGGGGAATTTGGAAAGATAATTCTCCAAAAGATATTAGGGCTGAGCAAGTTACAGAACAAGTGATGATTTCTGAAAATGAAGTGTTGGTTGATAAGGATATGGATGGTGATGATAGTAAGAGTAAAGTGTCTGAGGTGGAGTTAAATGTTTCTTTGTCTCCTATCATTTCTGAAAAGACAATGTAGATCATGAGATAGAAGAGAATGTTTTAATTAAAGATTCTAAAAGCAAAGCTCTTATGGTTAATGAAATTAATAATGGTGAGAAATGGTTGCCAGTGATTTTCAATAGTAAGGAAGTTTTAGAAAAGGAAGAGAACATTCCAATTATTCAACCGCTGAATTCCTTACCTCCTTCAGATCCTAGTTTCAATTCAAAAGTTGCTTATGTCAGAAGATGTTCTAGGTTTGTGGATTATGAACCTATGACTGCTTTGGATAGAGTTACTTCCAGAGCTGCTTGGAAAAATACTGATAAAAGTTCCCATGGAGCTTCTTCAAGTGGTTCAGGTGAAAGTTCTTCTTCTTTGGGCTTTTTTTTTGTTTCTATTCTATTTGATGTTTGTTCTGATAAGCAGATAAAAAATTTTGCTTCAAACTGTGCCATTATTCTTCATCCTCAAGGGGATCCCTTAAAAAAAGTGAGGCAAATAGAGCAGGAGAGAGCTAATTTTGAGTAGACTTTGCTTCCTTGTGCCTGAGGAGTTTGGTATTATCCCTATGTTGGTTACATGGAATGTAAGAGGACTTGGTTTGAATACCAAAAGATTTGGAGTTAAAGATTTTTATCAATTAAATAAATTTGAAATAATTTGTTTACAGGAAACAAAGTTAAGTTGTGTTGATGATAAGATTTTAAAAGCCTGGGAGGCAATACTTTTGAGTGGGTTTATATACCCTCCATTGGTGCTTCTGATGGGATTTTGATTGGTTGGAATAGTAACAAATGGAAGAAATTGCAGGACTCTTCTGGTGTTTTTGTTTTGACTGTGGTCTTACAAAATAAGAGAAATGATTTTGTTTGGAACATTTCTTCAGTTTATGGTCCTCACTGTAATAGTGAGAGAGCTCTGTTTTGACAGGAGCTTAGAAATATCAAGTATAATTTCTTAGGACCTTGGGTTGTGGTGGGAGATTTTAATGTTACTATTAATGCTGCTGAAAGAAAGGGTAAAACTAATCATAGAAAATAAATGGAAGAGTTTAAAGAGGTGATCAATGAGTTGGAACTGATTGATAGTCCTTCACATGGGAGACAGTTTATTTGGACTAATAAGAGAAGACTACCTTCTATGGCTAGACTGTATAGAGTTTTTTTCAACTGCTGCTAAAAATATGCATCAAACAATGGAGATTTGGATGATGATGCATCCAAATTGAGATTTGTGAGAATATTGTTAAACAAAAAAAGTTCATCTGCTGCTAAGAATATTGTTGGTAAATTAAGATTTATGAGAAAATGCATCAAACAATGGATTCATTCTAATTTTTATAGAGTTGAACGAAAAAAGTTGTTGGATAATCTCTTAGAATGGGAAGTTTTAGAGGAAAATAGAGATTTGGATGATGATGAATTGATTAAGAATATTTCCATTCAGTTGAATGAGATTTTGCTACAAGAGGAGCAAATGTGAAAGCAAAGATCTAAAGCACATTGGCTGAAAGAAGGGGACAATAACACTGTATATTTTCATAAAATTGCTAATGGTAGGAAAAGAAATAATTTGATTGCTTCAATTACTGTTAATAATGTGATGGTTAGCTCTGAAGAAGGTGTAGCTCAGATTTTTTCAAATCATTATAAACAGATCTTTGGTCAGAATGAGCCTTATAGATGCCATCTTGAATGGAATAGGTTATTTCCAATGATAGAATGAGGTCCTAATGATATTGAAACTTCTTTTACTGAGGAGGAAGTTTATAAAACAGTGTTTGATATGAATAGGGATAAATCCCCTGGACCAGATGGATTTCCTGCTTTATTTTTTTAAGTTTTTTGGGATATGGTGAAAGAATATATTATGAAGATTTTTGAGGAGTTTTATGAGGGCAACTTAGAGATCAATAGGCTCAATTATGCTCATATTGTGCTTATTCCAAAAAAAATAAGGCTATTACAGTCAATGATTATAGACCCATCAGTCTCCTAAATGTTATCTTTAAAGTGATTACCAAAGTTTTGACTAATAGATTAAATTCTAAGCTGGAATGACTTATTGACCATGTTCAATCTGGTTTCATCAAAAACAGATTTTTGCTTGATGGAGTGGCTGCAGCTCAAAAGATTATTAATGATTGCTTTCAGAATAAAAAAATGGAGGAATTTTATTAAAATTAGATTTTGTGAAAACATATGACATGTTGGATTAGGATTTTATTTTAGAGGTTTTGAAAGCTAAAAATTTTGGTGTTAAATGGTTAAAGTGGGTTAAGTTGTGTTTAAGAGGGGATATGTCTGCCATTAATATTAATGGTAAACATGGGAGTTGGATTATGTCCAAAAAAGGTGTTCGTCAAGGAGATCCTCTTTCACCTCTTCTTTTTGTTCTAGCAGCTGATTCTTTCACCAGAATGTTGAATCTTGCAGTTGAAGCTCATCTTATTGAAGGTTTAGGCCCTGTTAATATGGCTCACAAAGTTTGTTGTTTGCAATATGCAGATGATACTTTGATCTTTTGCAAAAATAAAAAAGAACAGTTGACAGTTAAAGTTGATTTTATACTATTTTGAACTTGCTTCTGGATTAAAAATAAGTTTTAACAAGAGTTTTCTTATAGCTCTTGAGAATAATGATAAAAATAAGTTTTAACAAGAGTTTTCTTATAGCTCTTGAGAATAATGATTCTTTACAACAAAGTTTGGCCACTATGTTGAATTGTAAAAGTGCTCTTGAGAATAATGATTCTTTACAACAAAGTTTGGCCACTATGTTGAATTGTAAAAGTAGGAATTTTCTCATTACTTATTTGGGGGTACCTCTGAGACCTGAAAAATTAAAAAGAGATGATTGGTCTCCTCTGAATGAGAAAATTGAGAGAATGTTAGCTTTGTGGAAAGGCAAAACTTTATCTAGAGGGGTAGACTAGTTTTAGTTAATTCAGTTCTATCTTCTATGCCTAATTTTTGGTTATCCTTTTTCTTATTTTCTTCTTGGGTCATTGATAAAATTGATAAGATGAGAAGAATATTTTTTTGGATTGGGTCTTTAGATCATAAGAGTTGTACAAATCTGATTAAATGGGAGGAGATTTGTAGACCTAAGCTTTTTGGTGGTTTAGGAGTTATAAATCTAAAAATCATGAATAAAGTTTTGTTAGGGAAATGGTTTGATGATAAACATGTGCTTTGGAAACAAATCAGCTTTTATAAATATTTTGAAAGAAAAGATTGGACAGAATTTTTTCATTATGGTAAAGTGAATTTATCTCAATTCTGGAAAAATTTGTATGTTAATGCTGATAGTTTCTTATGCAGTACTCATGTAGAGGTGGGAGAAGAAAATCATACTTTGTTTTGGCTTGATAAATGGTTAGGTTCATCTACTCTTGCTTCTTTATTTCCATCTCTTTTTATTATCACTTCTTTTTCGTTTGCTTCTATCAACAGTCTGAGAAAAAAAAGAAATAAAATATGGATATGGGATATTCAGTTCAAGAGGCAATTGACTGGAAATTTGGTTTTTCAGTTTCTGAATATGTTGAATCTCATCAAGGACTTAATTTTGGAACAAAGAGAAGATAAAAGAATTTGGCTATGGGAGGCAAATGATATTTACACTGTAAAATCTTGCTATCAATTTCTTACTGATGGAGGTTTAAGGTTTGATTGTGTAAAAATTTGGAAACTTGTTATTCCTTTAAAAGTGAAAATTCTGGTTTGGTTGGCTTTACGACAAAGTTTAAATACAAAAGATATTCTGGATAAAAAAGGAATTCATTTAGTGATGACTTGTTGTTTATGCTTTAAATCAGAAGAGTCATATGCATTTGTTTGTTGAATGTGAGTTTGTATACTCAATTTGGAGATCTATTCCGTTCAAATTAAAAATTGAGAAAGATTTTAAAATGAAGTCTTTAAAGGAAATTTGGATTAATTGGGTTGCTGGTGGGAATGATGATTGCAAAATGAAAAGAGATGTTATTATTTGTTCTCTTATTTGATGCATATGGCAGGAGCGTAACGATAGAATTTTTTCTAACAAGAAGAAGAGGTCTATTGAGCTTCTGAGTAAGATTTTGACATTCTCAACCTTCTGGCTACGTTCTATGAATATCTCTGCTCGAGCGGCCAGGCTTTAAGAGAGAAGAAGAAAGAGGAATGAGTTATCTAAAGTTTACAAGCTGCTGGAGCTGCAGGAAGAGAGAACAGGAGTTTTGGAAACTCTGTGATTCAGCTAGAAAGATGATCTCTGGATGTAGTGTCTTAGATGATGTTTTGATATTAAAAACTTTGCTGAGTATGGAACTCACTGCTATTTTAGTTTAGTAGTAGTAGATAAGTGTTTTGGGAGTTTTAATACTTTGTGTAAAAGTGTGTTTTTGTTTGTTTTGTAATTTCAGTTGGGATCTAAGTGCACATTTTTGGTTGGGGATGTGCACATTATATGTAACAACCAGTTTATGTTAATTTAGCTGGTTGGGTTACTGTTATGGTAATCCATCTTTTTTCTCAAAAAAAAAAAAGGGTTTAGCATATTTTAGCAGTTACTGCAACAAAACTTCGTTCATTTCTCTCGCATACATGTATAAAAGACGGTGCATGTGTAACGACAAGAAATTATGTATTTTCACAGTAAGCATTATGAAGATTTTCAAAACTCGCACCCATTTATCCACTATAGTTACAGTGACAAAAAGGAATCATGTCATGGATCACTTAAAAAGCTTTGAGAACACAACTTTTTTAACCACACATACCATGATGAAGTTTATTCCTAGATACCTACTAAGTTTTTACCCATGTACATACACAATTCTTATGTTTATAGGTTGAAACATCGAATCCTAAACTAAAGCAGAAATATTCTTCTACGGGATTACCAATTTGGCAAACTAGAGGGATGCAATATTACAATATAACTATAAGATGAAAATATTAATAACAAACGACTCTCAGATGATATGAAGCATTCTACTTTTGATCTCTGGCCCCATTAACACTCAAATCAACTGTTGGTATTATGCTGCTCAATGCAAATTATTAAATGAAAACTAGGTTAAGAAAAAAATAACTGAAGTTGCCAAAATGATTAGTCAACCACAACATGCAGTTACGTGCAAAGATCAGACACATTAGTTTGTATTAATATCTAGTGATCTCTATAGGCCTAAATCTTCAAGGTAGAAAAAGCAAGCATACCGGTTGCAGACATCCCGGAGACACATCCGTAAACGGCGAAGAGCATGCTGTTCAGCCTCTGCCTTGGCCTTCAACTCTGAAGCTTTGGGACCACTCACTTCTTTTGGTGCTTTGGGCAGCTCTGGAAGTGGTCTTGATTCTTCAGGTGTATTTGCTGATTCTTCCTGCTGGATGGAGAAGATAGCTTCGACCAACTGCTCAATAAATTTGGACCTGTCATCCATGGTTGGTTTATCCACTGTATACCTATCCAACAACAATGTAGAATAAGTTGACTGACATTGATTAACTATACAATAAAGAACTTGCATTGACTAGAAAACAGGCATATCTGCACAACTATGACAGTGACAGCAATATAATCAGAGCATAAGAATATTCCTTAATATATAGTCATTGAGGACTGCTACAACAGCAAGAGAGCAGATATACATAACCATGTCAAACCTGAAAATAGTTTAGTAACCCAATCGATCTCTATTAGCGAGAGAGCTCCTACTTGTTACAAGTGAACCTTTAATGTTATAATATTCACAGATGATTATATCCAAACCACTGGGAGGTAAGGACTACATAACTTTTCTTGATCAGGCATCAACCGAATTTGCGTATGTGTCAAGTGCTAAACACACATTGTACTCTCCTAACCAGGACAACAAACCTACTTTATGGGTTAGAGTCTTCACAATTATGAAAAATCATATCCCCATAATGAAGTAGCTGATAATTTAACCTGTGGTAAGAAATAAGCATTGTTTTAAATATCCCCGACATGGCCCGATATATCCCCCGATATATCCTTTTACAGGGCTTGCCGTAACCGATATGGTCTTTAAATATCCTTTACCGCTTTTTGGCTATTTTGAGTGATAAATCCCCGATATGGCCGATATATTGATATATTAGCCGATATGTGGACCAATATATCTTTTTATATAGCTTGTTGCAAAATAATATACCGTGTTTGGAATTTTTGGGCGAGATATCAAGATTTCCCCATTATATCAAATAACATTTTGCCCTAAAAAAAACAGATCGAATGTTGCAACGTTGCTTTGCACTTTTGTTTGTTTTAGAAGGTTGATTAGTGATCCTAAACATATATTATTCATATTTTGTATGCTTAAATTTCATTACATATGTTGAGATTATATTTTAATGCATTATACTATGTATGCAAACATTCTTTATGGCATTCCGATATTTACCACATATCCCCGATATTTCCCCGATATCTGCAATCCGATATGAATTTTGGCTATTCGATATTTCCCCGATATCCGATATTTAAAACCTTGGAAATAAGTACATCAATAGGAAATTAGAGGCATTGAAGATAACACATAGCATTTGGTATGTTTGAGCATGTGAAATGCAGACCAATAAGTACAGAATGGGCCAGTTCAGAGTGCTAAACTTGCGATGGGAAAATAGAATTGGAATAGACATAATCAAATATTGATCAGGATGTAACGGAGGATGTGTTAGGTGGTAATTTATCAGATGAGACGACCTTAACAACCCTAAAGCGTTGGACAGAGACTTTGCCCCATGACTCCAAAGATAACAATCCCACATTAGAAATCACACTAAGGGTCCAGTACATGATAATTTTAACGGACTGAAGGGGGAGCCTCTGCATAACGGTGAGAGTTGTCATGTCGTCATGTGATGTGACCTAGAGGATAGTTGTGGAAATAGCCTCTTGTAAAAATTACAATGTAAGGCTGCGGACAATAGACCCAAAGTAGTCTGACCCCTTCCCATGCCCTGAGGATAGTAGAAGCTTCGTGCACCGCACTGCCCCTTTATTCAGGTAAGGTAAATACTCCATAAATATTCCATAACTATGTCTAAGTGTGCTTGGGAGAGTAGTACTAAGAAGCATTCCTAGAAGTAAAAATGGTAACCAGCAAACTTCAAAAGCAAAAACTAATTACGGTCACTGCTGGTGATGCAATGTTAATGTAACTCCCATTATTAGATGGGTGTGAGCTATCCTCCAACAACCGCAAACCAAATTTTGCCAAAGGTGGTACATGCAAATTGCTCCTGCAAGCTTCCGGGTAAAATTGCATGATAATCTATATGCGTCATGCTATTAATGGTCTTAAGCTAACGGCTGAAGTAGCTGACGACCTTTGCAAACAGTTTCAACAGCTTTTTAATCTTTCCTGATGCTCACCAATCTTCCCAGCGAACCAACATTATATTTGCAAATGATAGGAGCATAAACAAGAGCTCCATGTCCCATGACTTTCAGCAGTCAGTTAAAAGGCATTTCGTTCAGAATAGTACTGAGAATAACTTTTAGCATCAATAATCATCACGAAAAGCTCAGAGGTTAAATCTGCCATAACCCAGGCAACACTAAGAACCAATACAGCTTCATGCAGAAGAGTAACATGAACATGAACAGGATGTTTTGGTTGCTAGACATAACAAAGGGTGTGGAGCATCCCTAAGTCATCAAAGCTCAACAGAAAAGGGTAGTTAACCCCCCACCCCCCCCCCCTCACTTTTCCCACAAACTAAAAAAACACCACAATCTGAAAAAATGCTTTGGGTGTTTCCCACAAACCCCACAATTCTTCTGTTTTCTCACTAAACACCAAGAAGTATTCCCACTTGACCCCGAATCTTTTAACTTTTCCCATTAACTACAAATAAGTCTCTTGCAATTGGGAACACCTTACTATCTGCCCAATTTTGTTCTCTCCTTGCTTTCTCTGCGGATCATCTTCTTCTCTTCTTTTTTTTCTCTCCCTTTCTCGTGCTGGTGGAGTTGTTTTTTTGGGGGGTTGGTGGGGGTGTTAAAATTTGGAGAAAATATAGAAAAAAAATAGTCATGCAAAAACTTGCTGGTGTAAGTAAATGCAATTTAACTAGTACCAGATCCAAGGACCAAGGATGGTACATACATACTCCAGTTTAACTATAACACAACCAAGGGTCAAGGGGAGTATGTATGTTGCCTCAAATCCAATGTATTCAGAATGCACCAACCATATTGATGCTAATGTCATTTCCTGGCAGATTACTAATGATTATTGAAAGGAATAAATAACAGACACCTTCCTAAGGATCTTATGTCCTAAATATTTAATGTGTCAATTCCCTTGTGAATGTTTCTTCTTGATGACCAAAAATCATAATGCTTCATCTTCGGTCCCCTGAAGTGATTTCTCTATGCAGTTGATATATATCCATACAACAAACCTTGCCACTTCACCCTAACACCCTAATTGCTAGAAGCCATGCTCTATATAACTCTCATTGTTAAAGCAAGAATATGATTTTCTGAAAAAAATAAGCCTCTAAGTTCTCAGCAAACCAGGGGCCTATCCCACTTCATGTCAAATCATAACTATAAATGCCCACAGCTATTTACTTCCAAATGAATTACAAGTGACGCTACATTACAAGTAAAAGGCAGCTAGAAGGGCAGCCATAAGACAAAAGGAAAAAAAAACTTGGTCCCGTAAATATGATGATATAAAGCAATGTTGTGATAGGAAAGAGATGTAGATGTTAAAATAAAAGATCAGGAAGCCATACACATTATTTGCTGCAAATATTGAAGTAGAATCTTCATCTAGGTTGGCCAATGGCAGTGATGATGTTCCTAATAATAAAATGGGAAGATTAGATGGCAATTCTTCCAAGAGAGTCATCAAGACAGCCTTAAGCTGTTCATGTGCCTGGAATTAGAAGAAACAACAATTAGAAAAGAAGCAGGGCATACTATTCGTCTCATGAATTTTAAAGTAGGACGGTAATCTAAGAACAATTTTATGCACAATCTTCAGTACTCACCGTCTCCCACCAGAGCTGAAACTGAGGCAGATAGAGTATTGAAGGAGTTGTTCTTCTTGCTTCACCAAATATGTGTACCAAAGCTTCCTCAGGAGTCTTTGCACTTGGATCAGAAAGAAGAGAAGGAAGTCCAAGAGAATGAACAGGAAATTTCTCCAACTCATGCAAGACAGAAGGTCCAATATGGTCCTGTTGAACCAAAAGGTAAGTGATGTTTAAGCCTACGGTACCACTACAAAAAATAACAATGTTTCTACATTAATAAAGAACAGAGAAAACTACCAGCCCAACACTTTCATCACCACAAATCAAAAGCCGAGGTCTATACACTAGAGGGAGTGCAGAACCGTAGGAGAATATAGACAACTTGCTCATATCTGAATTTGATAGGGATGGGAAAATGTCAGATAACAGTTCCATGATTGTTCTAAGGTGTCTATCTAAACATGGAGCAACAACTGAAGATAGGGGTCTGGACTGAACGATGGAACCCCTATGAGCCGCAGGAGTAATTGTAGTCATTGCTTCTAGAAAATGATATTTTTCAACCTTCACGGAATCAACATCTATGACAAACTTGTCATCACTAGTATATACTTGAGGATACTTCTCACGGAAAGCACGAATGGCAGCTTCTGTGCACAAAGCTTTCAGATCAGCTCCACAGTATCCTACACAACTGGCTGCAAGCTCCATCTTTAAAGCTTTTGATGGAGGTTCCTTCCATTTGCGTGTATGAATGTCTAATATTTCCGCACGAGCCTCACAACCAGGTAAAGGGAAGTTGAACTCACGATCAAACCTTCCAGGACGGCGTAGAGCTCCATCTATAGCATCAATCCTATTTGTTGCCCCAATTAAAACAACCTGACCACGAGAATCAAGACCGTCCATCAAAGCAAGCAACGTTGAAACTATAGAATTATGAATCTGCTCCTGTTTGCTAGATCTAACAGGAGCAAGCCCATCAATTTCGTCAAAGAAAATAATGGATGGCTGATTCTTTTGAGCTTCTTCGAAGAGCATTTTAAGCTGTCTTTCCGCCTCCCCCACCCATTTGCTAAGAACATCAGCTCCCTTGCGCATGTAAAAGCTGACCTTTTGACCAGCCTTTGAAGCAGCACAAGCTAATGCTCTAGCAATTAATGTTTTACCTGTTCCTGGAGGACCGCACAGCAAAACTCCCCGGGGGGGTGTTATGTGGTACTTTGCAAAGAAATCAGGGTATAACAGTGGAAAAAACACCATTTCCTTCAAGGCATCAATGTACTCAGATAGACCTCCAATGTCATCAAAGCTCACACTTTCATCAACTTGTAATGGCTGAATGTCTGCTCCCCCCTTTGAACTGGGCCCAGCAGTTTGTGCACCAGTCGTAAGAGAAGCAAAAACGTCAGCCTGATGACCCCATCCAGAGGCAGCAGCATTTAATCCCCATGCTGTTGTGCCATGCATGTCCATTCCCCCGAAAAGCATTGGTGCTCCATTTCTTCCACCACGCATCCATGGAATCACTGGGCCATCATCCAACTCATCCACAAGAAGAGAATCGTCAGAATCATCAGCTCTCGACAACCGAGGTCGCTTATGAACTCGAGAACCACCCTTCCTCATATCCTTACCATTTCTGGAACCCATTCCATGATGCAGTACTCTACGCGGCGACCGTGGTCTCTGTTTCCCATCTTTCTCAGGAGATAATCTGCGTACATCTGCACGATTTCGAAGGTCATATCGCTTGCGCCCTTGCTCTTCCCCATCGTCATCATCCTCATCTTCATCTACATCCTCCCCTCCTTCACCCTCTGCTTCATCTTCTCCATCCTCCTCAAGGGCATTTCCATTTTCTGTATCATCTTGCTCGGCCTGAGGTTCAGAGCTTTCATGTTCATCTTCTGATTCTTGATATGGCTGTATTCTTGGCCCTCTGTCTGCTTTTCGAGGTCGTAATCCTTCACGACGTGGAAGGTATTTATTACTCTGTACCTTTCTATTCCTTGTGTAGGTAGAAACTTCATCATGATTGGCATTGTTTTCCGCCTTGCTTTTAGAGGAACGAAACCTTGGTGCCTGATAGAAGCAGCAAGCAAGTAAAAGCAAGTTAAACTTTTCATATTCCTCGGTCCTAAGAAACTAAGCTAGCAACTAACTTCTATAAATATCCATACATGGAAGAGTATAAAATCTCACCATTAGATCGTCATCTGATCTCGAACTGTCTGTCTCGTAATCATCAAGATGTATAGAAATCTTCCTTTTTCTTGTTGAACGGCGAAGATTTGCTGCAACAGACTGTAGGCAGAAAAAAGCAAGGTATATTTCGGTTACAAGGTACTGGAAACTACACACAGGTGAAGATACTTTATAATAGAGTATATACCCATTCAAATATAATCCGACACCTGAAACTTAAAATAGGATAACCTTGCTAATGCATAAGACAAATCAATAAATATAAGTGTCCTATGTATTAGTGTCCACGTCAGCAGAGACCATTAAGGTGCCTTCACAAGGACTGTCAAATGAGTGAAGGAGAAAGGAACGTAGCTAAAGTACAGATGCACATAAGTTTTGGATAGCTTCTAATGGAGATTCTCCTAAGGATGTAAAATATAAGTTCTGCATCATAGGATTCATAGCTTAAAGATAGTACGCAGTAGATGTTTGCATAGGGCCATATCCTACCTTCCGCAATCGTAGATCATGGATGACCCTAAGTTAAGCAGGGAAAAGAAACTGGATTGCAGATAAAAGGTATTCTCGTCCAGAAAAAACAATTGAAACATTGAGGAATGAATTTTAGGTTGAAACTTTCTGAGAAACACACAGTAAGAAGTTAAAATGTAAAAGTTAATGGGACTAAGGTAGTGAAAACTAGTTGGCTGCTGGAACAAATGAGGTAGGCACCAATTAGAAAGCTGCCCCAATAACTGAAAAGCACTGTAATAAGAGCCCTTCATAAGCTAACAAAGTTGATGATAGTGATGAAAGTTCAAGGTAGGCAGAGAAGGAACAGAAAATAAAGGAGGATTTGAGGGATTTTAGTGAATTAGCTTTTTAGGTTGCAAAGACAACTCAAGGTTAACAACGACAGATAAGCCTCATAATAACTAATAAGTAAAGGACCTCCCTTACTCAAGTTACAAGAGTACAGATATTAGGATATATCCCTATCGTGCTGCTCAATTGCCATCATGTTGGGAGTGACTGAGTGTATCTTGACATAGCACTTTGGCTTACATCATACCTGCAAGCCCATAGCACAGTTTTTATTCACCTTCATTCTTTCCAGACTTTTCTTAGCGTAGGAGAATGTAGAAGGTTCTTTGTTTCCTCCAATTGAACTGCATGAGTAATAATTTGTTTTCCTATACACTAGCTGGCAACCAGGTGGAATTGCATGTCCCTCTTTTTTGTCCCATATCATTCCATGGAAGGAAACTTGGACGAACTTAAAAAGATGAATATCAGGTCTAAGAAAATTAGAATTTTTTGAATGTTCCACAAGGCATTCAAATATGAACTTCAATTACAAAAGAGTTTGATTATGATGATGACGATGATCATGGCTGCTATGATAGTTAATCCCTAAAGCATTTAAGCTGATTCCTCCTCACCTCTATCCACTCGAGGATCCACATTAAGCAAAATGGTGTCATGTGATATCTTTTTGCTCCAAGATCCCATGTGACCCCACTGAAAAACCCCACCCAGTAACTCATTACCCGGCCCTACTAAAAAACCACCAAGTTCAGAACCACCCACCCAAAAAAAATCAAATCAAGTTTTACCCTTCTCCTCTGCCCTAGAGACTCCTCCACCTCGCCAAGGCACCCCTCCCTAAAAAAAACCCTCAAAACTCTACTCAATAAATTCAATTCTTTTAATGCGAATAAGTTGCTTAAGCTAACCAAATTCTATCCATGTGAATTTTCTTAAAGTCGAAGTCTCGAAAATTAAAATTCAACTTGGGAATTACATTGGTACTAGGTCATAGAGATGCAATGTTTGCTAACTTGAAAGAGATGGTTGATCGTTCAAAGAAGATGGTGGAGACCTATGTTGCATGGGTACGCGACGTGGCAAATTTGTCAAAGGTAGGGTACGAGGACACTGCTCTATAAATATTTATATCCACATACATTATATATTGATATTAATAATTTACATGAGAACAAGGATGAGAATTAAAATTCCTATAATATTTTTATGTTTCTTTTATTATGTAGATTATAGGTTGGAAAATCACCAGTTTTTGAACTAGACATCCAAATGACCCTCCAAAATCATAATTCAAAATTTGACCTATGTCTAGTGAGTTTCAAGAAGTTGATGTGAAGTGTAGGATACATGCCCAAAAAATGTATGACTAGTGTTTTAAATTACAACGTGCATTGCATAATTGAGTACATGCGCGAATAAACATATGCATATATGCAAGGAGTGTCCAAGGAGTTTGGATATGGGCACAGGTACTAGTACAGCTTCAAATTAGAACTACCTAGGTAACATAGGTGGAGACTAAATAGAAAAAGGCCTATCCTTCAATGTATTTGCTTTCGAAGATGATATTGATTATGCGAGTGACTAGAGCTACTATGGAAGAGCTTTTATTGCAATGAAGTTGATAAAGAACAAGTTTCCGGAGAAAATGAGTGATGATTGGCTCAACAATTGCTTTGTGACATATATCGAGAAAGATGTAATTGATAGTGTTCCTAATATTGCGATTACATACTTTTTTCAAAATATGAGAAATCATCTAATATAGTTGTAAGTTTTTAAATTATTAATTAATTAAGTAGTGGCACTGACACCACTTTCCAAAATATTGGATCAAACACGGACTTTATCTTCTTCAAGCTATGAAACCAAATTCTATCTCATCTTTCAGGTTATAGAGGGGGGGTGCATTTGTTGTCACGCTTAAGTGAGAGAATCCTTTTCTTAGCAACGAATGAATTAACTATAAATAAAAAAACATGTGTGTTCCTTGACTTACGGAAGACAGTTCTGCAAAAGTAATAGGGGTGCATGGTCTATATTTCTTTCCAATATAATTCCAAATATTTTAAGTAGTAGGTTTGGCTTGACTATTCTAGTTAAACATAATTTGCTCTAAACCTTGCCACTAGTGCACGAGAGGAAAAAACAAATTCCCATCACCATATTCCTAGATTCACTTATCCTAACCTTACATATAGCTCTCATATGTGATGCTTTGTCATCAGTATATTCCTAGAATATGTCATTGTATGCATGTATGAGACATATCTATACATGCACATCTGCATGTGATTTCAATACTAACTTTATCAGCCCTAGTCAAGGAGCTGGAGGGTTTTGTGGTTGCATATGCCCTCCTAATAACTTCACAAAGCTCCCTGTGTACCTTTTTTGTACACTTGCCTTACTATTCAGTAAATTCTCTACATGTATCCTATATTCACTAGCGAACCGTCCCATCCACAAAGCAACTAACTCTATTTCCTAGCTCTATCACAAGACTTTAAGCAGTTTCTTTTTTCACTGACAAGTAGGTCTTCTACAATTGTATCTCAACAGTTGGGTAAATGTGAGGGAAGTTTGGTCTATCAATAGCAATCCACAAGATGGTAAAAGGTTAGCAAGTGAAGAAGACATCCTAATACGAAGATGGGTGGGGCCATTTTAGTCCACTGGTGTGTTGCCTTTGAATATGTGAAATCCAGACACATGTGCACATAAACCTTGCTTGGATGAAGAAATGCATAAAACCAGATGCCAAAAAAAATGCATAACCGGCCAGACTGTGAGCTGGCAGTCTCTCTTTTCATTACAACCTTCTGAAATGTCTCAAGAAAAATCAAGGCTCTGCTCCTTCTAATGTTACCCCCTTAACGCCAGCTAGATAACTATGAAATCACATTAAAACATGCATAACTAGCTCTCACGTCCCCAAAATGACGTTATACAGTATCTACAACCATCTTAATCAACCAATCAGCTTAATCAAATAAAAAAATACCGCCTAACCATCAATTCAAACTAAAAAGCACAAGTTTCGCCCATCCAGGTCACTTAAAAAAAACACCAACATGCAGAAAACAACTCCCTTACATCATTCGGCAGCCGGACCCCTCGCATCTTCAATTGCTTAACAATCTGAGAAGCCGCAGTCCTCTTCTTACTCTTGCTCTTCTTGCGAATCCCAGGGTTATAATAGTAAAAGGACCGCCCATAAAGCTTCCTCCTTTGCCTCAGCCGATCACTCGTCCTCAAGGGCCTGCTCCCCTCCTTCGAATCCATCAAAAACTAGAGAAAACCTCGGGCCTTAGTCACAAAAAGGGGGGTTATTTCACGGAAAGACCATAAAAACACGGAATCTGGGAATAAACCCTAATCGTTCAATTACAATGTACTAACCTGAAGGAAGAGAACTCAGAAGCATTCACGTAGCTCGATCCCGGCGAGCAATGGCTTGATCGGCCTTCGATTTTGGGACTAGAAACAAAAGGATGCATGTAGAGAGATCAAAAGAGAGAGGGAGGGGCGGGAAAAGAGCGCGAAATTGATGGGAAGGGGAAACCCTAACCCTAAAAAATCCACCATTAAAGAGGGCAGATAGAGGGAAGGGGGTGGGGAGTCTGTAGAGGGGCTCTGCTTCGAAGACGACGAGGGGTTTCTAAAAAGAGAGAAGGGTGGGGGGACGGGAGAAACCCTGCCCTCGATGAACTCACGTGAGAGGCACGTGAGGGGCCGGGTACGGATCGCACCACCCGAGCTCGCGAGAGGAGCCCCCGACCCTAAACTCGAACTCACGGGATCCCTTTGGGCGAAATCGGACGGTGGAGATAGTTGGGGTTTTTGTGGTCCCGATCAACGTGGATTAGCGGCCGAAGGTGCTCGAGTTTTACGGGAGGGGGGGGGATTGGAGAGTTTTAGACCGTTAAGGCCGTTACGCAAACCGAGTGGCGATCTCACTCTTCTCCCAAACTTTTGGGAAGGAACAAGCGTACAAATGAGTGGGGGCCACCAATGATTGGTGACAAAATTCAAGTAGACCTTATAATTTCACTCCATGGGATTAATTGTAAGATTATATATATATATATAGCATAATAAGTGAACTTGTCATGTCGAAATTGCTATCCAAATTTTAGGAACCAGGAAGTTGTGTGGATACCACAAGTACTCGGTGGTATTCTATTAGCAGATATATGTTTTAAAATGTATTATGTTGAATTTAGGATTGACATATGATCATTGTAGTTGTAGCATAGGCACCGACTCCGCTGCGCAGATTTCTTTGGAAACAAAGTCATAGGCACGTAGGTTCAAAGCCAGACCGACTACCCCAAGAGCGCTCATCCATAAACCGGTTACTGGTACAAATAACATAAAGAAATGTAACCAACGTTTATTGGAAAAAGCAACCCCAAAGATTTGGGACCAAAAGCGGTTAGCAGTGACCATTAAATAAGTTTCTTCGGCTTGAGTTGGGTTAAAAGTACGGAATGTATTTGCACCATCACCATCTTCGAATAAAGTATTTTCTACTGTAGCACCATGAATAGCGCATAGTAGAGCAGCACCTAATTAGCACCATGAATAGCGCATAGTAGAGCAGCACCTAATACTCCGGCAACTCCCATCATATGAAATGGGTCTAGCCTAACACACTCGCACTCGATTCCAAGACAGATAAAGCCGCTAAACTATAAGACAAGTAAGCCTCTCCAGACCATACAAATGCACGGCGAGCAGGGGCCAAGTCGAACGCTCGAATATAGATTCCCTCGTTAACCTTGTACTTACCCGACTTTTATTTCTTTTTTTAAGGATCGACGAATCAAATGATATTTCTGTTCCAATTTCTGCCGTTTCGGAAGGGAATAAAAAGAAAAGAGAGGGAAAGAAAATCGAAATGAAATAAAGAATAAAACAAAAAGAATAAGTAGAAAATAGAAGAGCCTAGATTCTAAATGAACAAATTCAGAGAGGAAAGAAGCTGGGGGTGTTTGGTTGACGGGAAATAGAGCTACCGCCATGGTCAGATTTCTATATTCGTTGTTTCTTATGTGACAAGGTAGTAATGGTGAAAGGTGATAGTTTTACATTTTGTAGGGGGAAAAACTTACAATAATTATGGCAGCCAATTTAGTTATAACAAATACTGCAAGTTCTTTTGCATTAACTAAAAAAATCTAACAATTTAGCGTGGCATCATCAATTTAGTTGATTCCAACTCAAAAGATATTAGACCATTTCACAATTGCTACTTAGCAACTAAAGAAAAACATTTATTGCAATAGAAATTCAATTTTCTGCAATAAAATATGCAAAGCCAAAAAACCTTGTTAGCTAATCAAAGACTGGTTTTAGGATTGAAAATATGCTTTCTATAACGAAAATCCGGACGTCTAAAAAAACGGGTTTTAGTTGCTTTCCTTATAACGAACAGTGCACGCGGTCAAAAATGTCTTGGATATCTTGTTAATGATGCACAAAGTGCATTTGTGAAGGAGAAGCTTATTTCTAGTAACTTTTTATTAGCTCGTGAGTTCATCAAACACTATGGAAGAAAGCATAACTCTCCAAGAGCTATCCTAAATATTGATTTGAGAAAGGCTTTTGACACAATTAGCTGGGAGTTTATCAAGTCTATGCTTATTGGTTTGGGGTTCCCTAGCATTATGATCAACTGGATCATGGAGTGTATTACTACACCAAAATTCTCGTTAGCAATTAATGGAGGATTGCATGGCTATTTTCAGGGAGCTAGGGGTTTAAGACAAGGGGACCCCCCTCTCCCCCTACCTATTTGTCATTGGTATGGAATACCTGTCAAGGAAACTAAGTGTTTTGAAGGATGATAGATTGTTTAAATTTCATCAAAATGTTCAAGACTGAACATTACTCACCTGATATTTACAGATGATTTGCTTTTATTTAGCAAAGCTGATTTATGCTCAATTACCAAAATTTATGCATGTCTTCAAGATTTTAGTCTGGTTTCTGGACTGGATGCAAACTTTAACAAATGCTCCATGTACCTGAGTGGGGTTGAGGATGGCATCAAGGCTCAAATTTGCAACTACTTCAATTTTTCAGAGGGTGTCTTGCCTATGAGATATCTTGGTTTACCTCTGAATACAAAGAGATTGTCCTATATTGATTGCTCTTCTTTAATTGGAAAATTTCAAGATAAATTTTAGTTCTGGCAGCAGAAAAGGAAGCTATCATATGCAGGTAGACTCCAACTGATTAAATAAGTTATTCTTGGTATTCAAACTTTTTGGATTAGCCAAACTTTTTGGATTAGCAACTATATTTTGCCAATTAGAGTATTAGAGAAAATTGATAAACTTTGCTCTGACTTTCTATGGGAGAAAAAAATTCATTTAGTTGCATGGAATACAATCTGTCAAGATAAGAGACAAGGTGGTTTGGGTCTATTTTCTGCAAAAATGTGAAATTATGTTGCTGCTACAAAGTTATTATGGATGATCCACCTTAAAAAAGATATATTGTGGGTAAAGTGGATTCATATGAACTATTTACAGAACTGCAATCTTTGGGAAGCTCAAAGTAGAGTGAATGACTCTTGGATGTGGAAGCAACTCCTCAGGGTGAGGGATATGTTGTTGAATAAATTTGGAAGCTTCACATTACTAAATAATGCCATTGACGAATGTTGTCATAATGGTAAACTTCAGCACTCTGCAGTATATAAAGCTTTAGTCCCCTCAGCTCATCTGGTGGGTTGGTATGATACAGTCTGGGATAATTCCCTCTATCCTAAGCACTCTTTTATTTTCTGGTTAGTTTGCCAATCAAGACTTCTTACCATGGATAGGTTGTGCAGAATGGGGATTTTAAACTCAAATCAAAACTGTTGTGTTCTGTGTTCTAGTCATCAACTGGAAACAAATAGACATCTGTTTTTTGATTGTCAGTTTTCTGCTGAAATTTGGAATGGGGTAATGGATTGGTTGAAGTATAAATGGAGGTCTTGTGATTGGAACATGATCACTGGTTGGTACTCCAATAACTTGAAAGGCTAGGGTCCCACAAAGAAATTGAAGAGGATGGCACTTGCGGCTACAATCTATATGATTTGGCAAGAACGCAACTTGAGAATCTTCCAGAGCAAAGCCACGAGATCAAATCAGGTTCTCCGTTATATCAAAATTTTAGTTTATACAAAAGTTCTGCATGATAGTACATGTGTTCATATGAAAGATCTCATTGAGATTTTGTAATCTTTTTCTATTTGTTTACCAGATAACTTCTGGTTTTTGATATGTTTCACAAAGTTACATTTGGAAATGAATAAAATTCAGTTCATTTACCAAAAAAAAAAACAGTGCACGCGGTGTTTGTTCGTTATATTTACAATTG